ACATGGAGATGATGAGGGCCAGCTACATAATTTGTGGGGCTCAGTGTGAAATGAAAATGGGGGATCCCTTGTTCAAAAATTAAGAATTTCAAGATGGCGATCGCAGAGCCCAGGGCCCTTCTGAATGGTGTCTGTCTGCGACACCACTGGTCTCAAGCCCATGAAGCTACTGCTGGTTATCGATAACACCTATCATCCAGCGGTGTGGGGATTCCATGGCCCAAAGCATCGACAGCATTGAGCGTGGTGCTTGGCCCAGGGAAAATGTCCAGAACACGGGGGTGATTGTTTCTGTGCTCTGGCCTGGCTCCCCCTGGCCTGCTCAGCCCTTTCCAAAACAAATCCTGAATTCTTACCTTGATGGTAATGTGAATCGGGTGATTTTTTGTAAGTCACTTCATCTTTTCTAGGCTCAGATTTTTCCCTCTATAAAACATGGGGATTGCAGGAAATCTCTAAAGAGCTTACCAGCTCTAAATCTGTTTTGGCCAACTCCGTGACATTTGTGCATACGAGCAAAGTCTTAATGTTCTTTTGAAAGCAATTTCTCCCTCCCTGAGTTTGCTGAGATTCTATTTGGCCCTCAAGTTCATTTCATATCAAAGAGTCTTTCCAACCCTGAATACGTAAATCAGGGTATGTATTCTTTCTAAAGTTCCTCTAATTCAAAGGTCAACCCATTTTACACGTGAGCAGTCTGAGGCTTGGGATGTCTGAATGCCTCTCCTGGGGCCGTATAATGAGGTGGAAGAGGGTAGGAATCAAGACCTGCTCCTCCACAGGATTATACCGTTTCTTTCCTGGCGAAGGAAACATCAGAAGACATCTTTATAATCATATTTTGCAATTATTCTCTTCTGAAAAAGTTTTCATAAAAACAAAGAAGTAGAAAAGCAAAAAAAAAAAGTAAATTTTCCTTTAAATTTTCCTTTTCCTTTCCTCACTGGATGATATTTTTTTCAAGTATGTTCCTACTTTCTCAAATGCAGGACACCTGACCCAGGCTTAGTTTCATGATTTCTCCAGTAATTTCTACTTAGTAAGGATGAGGGTTTCTTCTCTTCCCACTTGAGTGTAGGATTCCCAGACCCTTTCTTCTCACGTTTCTGTACTCCAGGGTGAATAAACAGATGTTCCTTTAAAAGCACATCTTCTTTTATTTATTTATTTAATTTTTTGAAACATCTTTATTGGAGTATAGTTGCTTTACAATGGTGTGTTAGTTTCTGCTGTATAACAAAGTGAATCAGCTATATGTATACATATATGCCTATATCCCTTCCCTCTTGTGTCTCCCTCCCACCCTCCCTATCCCACCCCTCTAGGTGGTCACAAAGCACGGAGCTGATCTCCCTGTGCTATGCAGCTGCTTCCGACTAGCTATCTACCGGTCGGAATGACCATCATAAAAAATCTACAAACAATAAGTGCTGGAGAGAGTGTGGAGAAAAGGGAACCCTCTTGCACTGTTGGTGGGAATGTAAATGGATACAGCCACTATGGAGAACAGTAAGGAGGTTCCTTAAAAAACTAAAAATAGAACTATCATATGACCCAGCAGTCCCACCACTGGGCATATACCCTGAGAAAACCGTAATTCAAAAGAGTCATGTACCAAAATGTTCATTGCAGCTCTATTTACAATAGCCAGGACATGGAAGCAACCTAAGTGTCCATCAACAGATGAATGGATAAAGAAGGTGTGGCACATATATACAATGAAATATTACCCAGCCATAAAGAGAAATGAAATTGAGTTATTTGTAGTGAGGTGGACGGACCTAGAGTTTGTCATAAAAGCATATCTTCTTAACTTTTTGTTTCCCTCTATCTCACTGGTCTTTTGGGGATATCTAATCATTCCCTTAAAAGAAAAGGTTGAAAAGAAGGAAAGAATGTTCTCAGTCATTCCCTGGGTCTGGTCCATGTGAATTCCCAGTAGACCTCTCCATGGGGCATCTGGTCATGTGCCTAGTGGTTGGAAACTTTTGAGATTTTCCCAAGGTTGAGAGTTAGAGACAAAAAAAAAAAGTCTCTGTCTCTGGAAATCCTGTTACTTCCAAAAATCATACCCACTCCCATTTGTGCTGGTTCTTTCACTGAAGGAGCCCTGGCTGGACAATGGATCCAGCTCATCTTTGAGTGATATATTTTTAAATTTAAGGTTGTACTTTTCACATGAACTGGCTCAGGGCCAGACTAAACATGTATTGTTTTAGTGGGAGTGAAGACTGTAATTTTATCTCTTCTCTTAGGTTAATCTGCCCTTCTTCTGCTGCAGTGGTCCTGAACTGACAGATACTTCAGAGACAAAGGGAAAGGGTTTTTTGTGCCACTCTCAACTTTAATTGAGATTTAAGGCCATATGCCATTTCCTCCATTTTCAAACAGCTTAGAAAGGAAGCCCAAAGGCTCAAATTCTAAGGAACTGTGATTTGCCAACCAGTTTGAACCAGCCTGTGAATGAGGTTTGTCAACTAAGAACAGTTTCCAGTGGGCACTCTCTCCCTTTTCCATAGGCTGTGTAATAATCTCCTTTCTAGAAGAAAGTCACAGAAGTCTGGGGCTGCTATGAAATTTTCAGCTGGCGTCAGGCCAGAATGAGGGCTGAGAAGCTTGGAGTGAAATGTGGAGGTGGTGTGGCCTTTACAAAACAAACCCAGAGAGTCTTGCACTTAAAAAAAAAAAAAAAATCCCAATTTAGAATCTAGGTTTCCACCAGTTTCAGAAATGGATACTTTCTGCTTCCTGCCCCCATCCTGACACAAGGGATGCTTTCTAGTTGTAGGGATTATAGAGTTGTAGGGGTAGTTATAGCTGTGCAGGTAGATGGAGCATTCCTTAGAGGAACTAAGAAAACTAGGGGGCAAATCCTGTGTATGCAGGAGAGGGAAGTGATGAGAATTGGTGTAACCACAAGAATTTGTGTCTCACAGGCTCATGAGATCATGGAGACACTAATAAGCACAGGTGGTCATAATGTTCATGAATAGAAAATCAGAAGAAAATTTCAGATCCAGAAAGATATTCTGGGCCTAAAATCCTTCAGGGCTAAGAATGTCCTCAAGTCAAACCGGGTTGTTTATTTGGGAGGATGTCAGATGTCCTTAGACCTCACATAGTTTAGAGATCAGAAAATAGGCACCCTGAAAGGCTGAGTTACCAGAGTTTGTGAAAGTTCTCTGTGTAAACGACTTGATTTCCAGAGAAATTTTCCCACCCAGTTTAGCCAAGACTAAAACTGGCTTCTTACCTACCCTTCACGGTCAGTGGGAGATGGTGGTCTTTTCTTTAAAAGCAAGTCCATCGTGCTCTAATTGGCCCCTGGTCAGCTGCCTTGTCTTTAGTGGCCAGGACTCTTCTTACCTGCCTGGTCTCTCTCTTGTAGGAGGGTTTATACTTTGCAATAAAGGGAAGGATGTCTCAAGTGAGCTGAAAAGACAGTGAAACACTCCTGATAGCCAGAAACCAAAATCAATACTGATGGTCCAGGTTTTGATAATCTGGGCCTACCTAGGGAAGACCTTACATGGCTGGTGAAGTGAAATGGCGTATTATTTTGGTATGGGATCATAAGTATTCTACATGAATAAATTAATGTGCCTGCTTTCCCTATTGGTTATGACCTTCTCTTACAGTTAGCAGGGAAATGTAATGAGAAAAACCATTTAAATATCATTCAGTATTATACATTTGTATAGCACTTAACAGTTAATGAGAGCACAGTGTTTCATCTGCTCTAAATGTCTGTTTTGTGAGGTATGTGTTCCCGTTTTCACAGATAAGGAAATTAAAAACATAGGGAAGAATTTGCTCAAGGGCAGTAATTAAGTGGCAGATGTAGGGCTTGACCCAGGGACTTTTTATTCCAATTCAAAATTTCCTTTCCATCTTAAAACAATTCAACTTTTCCAGGTTATGAGAAATTCTTCTCTAGGACCCTGGTGAAAGCAGACTTCACTCCCAGGCAGGTTAGATGCTTCTACTAACAATAACTACACCTTTTACCTTGCAGAACTAAACAACAGTAATGGGGGAGATTAGGGCAAGTAAAGTTGTATTAGAAGCAGGTGATATGTCAGGTCTTATTACATAAAATAAAAATATTGGGAAAAAATGTCTCTTCTAGTTATGTTGACATAATCAGTGGGAAGAGGAACTATGTTCCGAATGTTCTTTTGTCTCTACCTTTTGCTCTGGCTGACTTTGCTCCCCTGTGTACCGAATACTAACCCTAAACATTATGAGACTGAAGAGTGATGGTTGCCCTTCCATATTTTAGTTTCTCTGAGATCGTCCTAAGTTCAGCCTTAGAAAATAATTTGAAAATATATTATACTTCCCTACCCCATGGGGAAAACAAAAACATTAGATGAGTTAGTCCTTTTGAGGGATGAGAGACATACTATTTGTCTACCAGAAGGTGAAAAAAAAAAGCATGAAGCTCCAATCTTCACGCAGAAACAAAATCTGAATGCTGACCATTTGGCCTGTTAAATCTTCTTTAAGTTACAGAGAGTCAAAACACCCCAGGAAAATACTCAGTTGCCCTCTCTCCATGTCAGAGGACACGGTGTAACCTACTTCTGTCATTTGGTGAGCAAGGATTGACGTGTGGGCATGTGGGTGAGGAATCGTGGTGGACGGTTGAAAATGTATTGCAACAGGGCTCAATCCAACAGCAAGTCAAAGGAACCGGAGTGAACTTTGGAGGAAACACAGAAACGGTTGCCAAAAAGTTAACCCTCAATTGTAACGTCACAAAAGCACCTCTACAAGGGCTTCCCTGCTTGGTGCAGTGGTTGAGAGTCCACCTGCCGATGCAGGGGACACGGGTTCGTGCCCCCGTCCGGGAAGATCCCACATACCGCGGAGCGGCTGGGCCCGTGAGCCATGGCCGCTGAGCCTGCGCGTCCGGAGCCTGTGCTCCGCAACGGGAGAGGCCACAACAGTGAGAGGTCCGCGTACCGGAAAAAAAAAAAAAAAAAAAAAGTACCTCTACAAAATGTCTGGCCGTGCTGTTTCCGGAAGCACGAGCATTTGTCTGGAAAAAGGCTGCTCTCAAATCTTTGCTCCAACCTCCATCTGACTCTCTCTGAATCTGCCCCAAAGGAGAGAAGCAGGTTAGCTGCTTGATGTCACACCAGGGCGGAAAAGCATGGGCTTTCCAGACTGGACCCTGGCTCACCAGGCCTGAGGATGAGGTGGGACCCAGTGAAGTCATCTGTTCTATCATCCTGCCTTTCTCTAGTGGATGAAAACCTACCCTGCTTTCCGCAGCTGGCAGAGAAGTAATATTCTACACCTTCCTTCAGGCAACTCATTCCTTGGGGTAGCAACCCCACCTTCCTAGAAGGTCTTCTCACTTTTGAAACTGAGTTCCTCATGTCGCATCTTGTTTCAGTGCAGCTGGCTACCGTTTTCTAATAATATCAGACATCTGGGGACTGACGTTATCCCCCTCTCACCTCTGATCAGTGCTCAGACCAAGATGGCATCTCGTGCCCCGTGACAACCCGTGCCTTATGTTGCTGACACAGAGAGCTCCCCAGTGAATCCTCCATCCCAGAGAACAAGGTCTTGTTAAGACTATACCTCCTCTTTTTTCAAATATCCTCTTTCAGGTCATTCTCTGGGCAAGAGAGCTAACGAGTTCGTCTTGTGAGACTTCGATAAAGCTAATAATATTACATAGGAAACAGCGCAAAGGGTCAGGAGGTTAAAAAAAACCTTAAAAACTAGAATTAATTGATCTTCTACTGTGGACCACATGGACCCTCACAGTTAATCCTCAGGATGGTTCTTCAAGGTGGCTTTGGCTGGTGCTAGCTTTGTGCTTGAGGAAATAGAGCCTCAGTTCCATAGCGAATAGAAAAGCTGCAGTTCAGCGTCTTACTGATTCTAAGGCTACACACTCCAGGAGGGCAGGGGCCCAATGATGGGGAAGGGTTCCATGCCCAAGGTTACATCCTGTCCCTGCCTCTTCTTTTTTTGTTTTTTGGGCCACACCGCGTGGCTTGTGGGATCTTAGTTCCCCAGTCAGGGATCGAACCCAGGTGAAAGCGCAGAATCCTAACCACTGGACCACCAGGGAATTCCCTGTCCCTGTCTCTCTTTGAATTTTTTGGTCCCCTCGTAGCCATAGGGACATAGCTCCACAAAACACAGCCAGGGCCCAGCTGGTTTGGGATTGGCAGAGTACTCTAAGCTACAGCCATGCTCAGACCCAGAGCCGCTACAGCCAGGACCTGCTTGCCGCCTGCCGTGAGATTCTTCATGCTCTCTCACCAGAATGCCAATACTTCTGTTTTCTCCCTGAATCCTCCCCAAATGTTCTCAGTGTTATTCCCATCCTACAGATGGAGAAACTCATGTCCTGAGAGCAATGAAGGAGTGAAAGTTCACACTCTTTTTACCTCTTGGCTTTTGGGGGCACACTTGGGTCTCTCCCTTTCTTCCATTCTTGGTAGAGGCAAGGCAGCATGTCTCTCCTCTCCTGGACTGTCCTGGAGAATGGCCCTGCCTGGGAGGCTGGCCTTCACAATGCACCGAGCTGACCACGCCGCCAGACCTGCCGCTTTGTGGGACTGAAGATGTGGGTGTGCTCGGGAGGGGTGGAGAGTAAGTTCAGTAACCCTCCTGGGAGCTCCCACTGCCCTTGTGCCCACCTCCATCATGGGACTTAACTCTGTGAATTATGACTTTTTAAGCCCCTGTCTCCCCATGGGACCATGAGCTCCTTGAGAACAGGAGTTGCATCTTCTCATTTCCATCCCGAGCAGGTAGCATAGTTTGTTAGCATATAGTAGCTGTTCAATAAATATGTCATGGACGAGCGAAAGGAGAAACATGGCTGCCTCCTTCCTTACTGCTGAGATCACAGACTGCTCTATTCCATATGTTGTCAGGACCCCACACTCCCCTTGCTCACCTACCTCTCCCCACATTTTGCTGGCCCTTCTCCTTCTGACCTGTCCCCATAGAGGGGCTGGCCCCAGGGAATAGAGGTAAGGAACCCAGCAGACTGAGCCATGTGCATGAGCATGATGCGTCGACTTGGGGGTGAGGAGAGAATGGTTTGAATTCTACTTTTCCAGGGTTTGAAGGGGAACTGTGTGAGTGACACACAGCAGCTGTTTCCACTTAAAATTGATTACCAAGTATCACTACAAATGGACTCAGAATTTAAAACAAAACTCCATGGAAATGAGTCATTCTAAATAGGTTGAAGGAAAGAAGTTTCTCCAGCTGAAGACCAAAGAGATCTCTGTTAGTCCTGCTTTCCCCCTACTGGACAGTCCTTCTAGAGGCTACGGTTCCCCTTACATTACAGAGATAATTCTTTCTTGCTGGCTGCTTGTCACGAATTTTAACTGGTCCTGAACAAATGCCCTGGCACTGTCGGCAAAGCTGGAAGTACAATGTCGCCGGAGACGGAGGCGGCCAGGCTAGCCTCACTCTACTCTGGGGAAAGAGCCACACTCTTGGAGATGAACGTCAGAGCAGCCCTTGGACTCTATCACAGCCCTCAACAGTGAGTAGCTGATAGGCTGGTGGGCAGTGCCATTTCCATTAGCCCTTCAGCACCTGGGAAGTTAAACATAAAATACTGTTTGGTTTTTGATTTGTTCTTATTAGAGAATTAAGAGTCTAATTCATAGAAACAAATAAACTCAAGGTGTGATACTCAAGGAAATTTCAGAGAGCCTGGGGTTATTAATGACCATACCATGGGCAGTCTTCGTAGAAAGCCTGATAGAGGCGGCAAATCAAATACAGAAAATCAATTTTTGAGAATAAATTAAATTTAAAACGCATCAGCTGTAAGGCCCCAGCAAAGACAAGTTATAGTACATCTTCTGGTCATCTAACTAATGGAAGTCACATTTTATTCCCATTGTACTGGCCACACATTACCGAGCTCTGATCTCTCTAAAATTAGATCTTTGTAAAGATATAGTTGGCTCATCTTGACAGGGCTGATGGGTGGTGAGAGCCTCTAGCAGCAACACACTCCATCTGGGAAGATTCTCTTCTGCTCAGCTCTATAAAGCATTCTTTGTGTTTCAAGAATTGATGTACTGCTGTACGGCCTGAGAAAACAAAACCCAGCGGTCCACTCCTCTTTTCTCCGCTGCTTAGCTCATAGAGTAGGTACACGGCTGGCCCTAAGCAACATCCATGTCACCTCCAAGGAGAACAGAGATGCCACTTAGTCCCTTTCTTACCTAGATTTGTTTAAAACCACGTGTGGCGATCATGAGTCAGGAACCATAAGATACTAAAGACCCAGGGGGTTGCTTGTCCTTTGGTCAAGGAGACTCGATAACACTTGTTGTCTGTACCGGTTTTAGGCTTTTATATTATCTTCCTTAATTGGAAGAATTCCCACTTGGGTAGAGCTAAAATAAACCCAGGGTTTAAAGGTTCCCTGGGGTAATGCTAAAATGCATATTCATTGTGTGCCGGTAGAGTGAACGTGATCCCACGGCCCTGTGCTGTGGAAGGTCCTGGAGAAGACGGAGCCTGGGATCTGGATGGAGAGAAAAGGCCTCCAATGGCATCCAGGAAGGACCTCTGGCTGATGAAAAAAGCCAGGAGGCAGCGAGGGGAGACGGTGACACCTAAGTCCCCTTGCCCAAAGCTATAGCCAGAAGGTTCTGTGATAGGTATCTGAGTGTCTGAGCCAGACAAATTGGGTTATACTTAGCTGAGGCACCCAGCACTGAGGGATGCTGGGGCGTTGGAGGGCGTTGCAGTTTGTTGAAACTGCACAGGCGAAAACATTCCCACATCTTTAAACACTGAAAACCACTTGCCACTCACGAGACCACATGGGCAAAGGGGGTTGCCAGCTTTATTTCATTTTCTTGATCGATCCACGCAACATTTACGATGTGCAATTACTGCATGTCAAGGAGCTTGCTAGGCAATGGTGATATGACCGTAATTGTGACATAGTTCTTGCCCTCAGACTTTCTCCTATTCTGGTGAGGAGACAAAAAGTAAACAGGCAACTTCAAGTCCTGTGCTCAGTGATCTGAGAGGGTCTGGATAGGAGTCTTCGGGAGCACACAGGACTGGAAGTTATTACCAAACTCAGTGGCAAGAGGACCTCTTCTACATTCACAGGAGAGCTGGTATGCAACAGAGTGTCAGGCAGACAATACTCCATGCAGTGAATTGCTCTGGAGATGGGCCCTTAAGACCGCACTGATGTTGATACCACAATGATATTAATAAAATGCCTAGTTGACCCCATATCAGGTGTGTAAATACGAAGTAATGCACTCTCGACATCTGATAGAACCCTGACCATCTGACTTGGACAGACAGTGAGAAAATCAGCCCTGCTGGGAATCAGTAGGATACAATGTATGCACTAAGGAATAGAGAAGAATGACGCTGGCAATATTAACTGCAAATTCATATTGAGCACTTAAAACAACTTACAAGTGTTACTGCATTTAATTCTCCCAGCAACCCTCCCAGGAAAGAAATGATCGTTATTTCCATCTCATAGATGAGCAAATCAAGACTCATGGAGGTCAAGTAGCTTGCGTGGGCACAGTATCACACAAATAGTAAGTGGTGAACGTAGGAGTCGATTTTAGTTCTGGTCTTAGGGTTGTCATGAGGACTAAGTATGTGCGAAGTGCTAGGAATGGGGCCTGAAACGTAGCCAGCACCCGATGAGGGTGAACCATTATTACCAACACAGATAAATCTCGCCTGCAGATCTCTTCCAAGAGAAAAATAAATGACCTCCCCTCAAACAACCAACTTCATGCAGACCTCTCAGTGATTAAAGGCACTGATTACCTGCGCCTAAAGGAGAAAAGAAATGAGGCGAGAGCTTGCCAGCCCCCTGTGTCCAGCCAGGGTCAGGCTCGTGGTGTGCCGTGCAGGTGACCCTCCACGGAGCCGGCTCCGTGATGCTCCGTGCCCAGGTAGAGCCCAGCGGGGGCCCTGGGAGCCCAAGGCGGGGACAACTCCCACCCCATTTGTCCCTCCATTTTCTCTTGGGCTGGATGTTTCAGTGTTACTGATTAAAAGACTTTCTTCAGTCAAAATCCTCCTGATTCCCACGCCAGCAGGAGGACGTGAGGTCTTTGGTGGGGCTTGGGGAGGGGGAGGGGTGGGGACATGCGGGGAACAGGTGAGATGTGACGAACCACACTTCCCAGCAGTGTTTTCCAAGAAGTAGGCATTCTGGGCACTGGAGAAAGCAGACATCTATTTTCTTTCTTTTAAAGAAAGCAGTTTCTACCAAATTCATTATTTCTAGAGAATTGATATGTTCTGTATTTCATTTCTTCCTTCTCTTCCCATCCCAATCTCTTTATAGGCTTATGCCACCCAGCAGGATTTCGAGAAGTTTGTTACAACCGCCAGCAGTGGGGCTGGATGTTGATATCTAGTCATCTTTTTATTTTTACTTTTTATTAGACAATCTACCTTTAGAAACTCTACCTAAGGTTGTTTCTCCACTGACTAATAAATACTCCTGCATGCATTTCACCCTTCTTTCAACAAATCAAGACTGGGATATTTCAAAGGGAAGATGAGAAATCAATTAAAATTGTATTGAGAAGAAGCTGTCATTATTGCAATCTTTAAAATAAGAAAGATAAGCAGCATTTTTGTATTATTTCTCTGAGGAACTCAAAGTAACGTTCAATTAGCCCTGTGAAGTGCATACGAGAGAAATGTGATTAGGTGCCCTTTTCTCACGAAGAAACAAACATGGAGAGGAAAAGTGATGTGCTCGTTCAGAATACACAACCCAGTCAAGCAGAACTTGTAACTATACACAGACCTCACAATCAGCCAGTAAATGTAGTAGGCAACCTCCAGAAGCACACATTGGACCAAAGAAACCAAAACAACTCAACAGTCCCAAATGGCTGGCCTTTATGGGGCATGAGCCTTGGACTTGCCAGGGTTCCCACCCCTTCTCCCAGACATGGGGTGGAGTCTCACTTGTCATTCCTGGTCTTTACTTAGCCTGTGATACCCATTTCTGTTGCCTGCCTGAGAGTAAGGTACAAGCAGTGGACACAGGTTGGACACAGGACCAACTCAAATATTATGACAGGGAAGCAAAGGGACAGGTGAAGACTATCAGCCCATTTCAGAGTTAGGAAAATAGAAACACATAATAGGAAGTCATTTACCCATAGTTCCTCCAGGCTTCTACTGTCTCTGCTACCATTTTGCCCCGATAATCTTGCAGATGTTTCCTGAAGATCTTAAATTTCAGTTGCAACAGAAATCCTTAGTGGCTTGTTACTCTCACCACTTAGCTTTCCCCCCAGTATATCTATCCTTTAGGAATTTGTGACTTGCGACAGACTGCAAATGTCAGATGGGGGAAAAGAAAAATGATAATAATACACTGGGAGTTGTAGCCTCTTTGCTAATTCACAGAAGCCGTTTCCAGAAAAATATTGCCTGCTAATTAAACAAACCCTTTTTTTTTCTGACAGATGAAAACATGGGAAAAATCTTATCCCATCAGTTGGAGAGCAGCCACTGCCCTGGGAGGTGGCTTCTTTTTCTAAGGGAATTGACTCCTTGGGAACAGCCGTAAAAAGCTTTTACAGTAGGTAGAGCTCTGATCTTCAAGCCACATGACAAACCTTAACTAATTAATATACCCACGCCCTGTGGGGAGGTATCATTCATTAGCACCACTGCTTCAAGGTCTCTGCCATGACGCCCTACAAACACGAGTTGTCTGCCATTGGAGGTCCACACAGTTCTCTGCCACCTGGATGGCCACTCTGTGCCTGGGACTGGCCTGGTGTATAGTAGTTGCTCAATAAACACTGCTTGGATGAATTTACTGCTTATCCTCTACACGCTACCACTTCAATGGCAACAAGCTCCTGTTTAGAAGAAGAGGAAGTTTCTGTGTTTGAAGTATTGTAGTTGAATTGTATCCCCTCCAAAATACATATTCGAGTTCTGATCCCCCGTACCAGTGAATAAGACTTATTTGGAAATAGGGTCTCTGCAGATGTGATCAAGTTAAAATGAGGTCATCCTGGGTCAGGGTGGGCCCTAACTCCAATGACTGTTGTCTTTATAAGAAGAGGGGAATTTGTACATAGAGACACAAATGCGCGGGGAGAAGACGATGTAAAGACGAAGGCAGAGATTGGAGCAAGGCATCTACAAGCCAAGGAAGCCAAAGAGTACCTGACAGCAACCACCAGAAGCTAGAAGAGGCAAGGAAGGATTCCTCCCAGGGCCTTCTGGAGGCAGCATGGCCCGGCTGACGCACTGATTTCCAAGGTCTGGCCTTCAGAACTGTGAGGGGATACATTTGTGCTGTTTTAAGCCACCCAGCTTGTGGTACTTTGTTACAACAACCCTGGGAAACCAATCCATGAAGCTTATGACAGATCAGCAAGAGACCCTTTGGGGAATGAGACAGGAAGCTCTGATCACTTTTGCTTGGAAGCTCAGTTTACTTATGGCCTCCACTGCAGGGCAAGGCAGTATCATAGCAGCTCTGTCAGAGTGGTGGTAAGAGATACGGATGGGAAGAAAGGGAAGTGTGTGAAATTTACTGAGGCCTTCCCTTTGTGCCCAGGAGCCCTCTGACCCAGGTGGGTCTGTCTGGTCTTCAAATATGGCCCCCCTGAAGTCCTTCACGTTCCAGGAGGTGTTTGTCCCGGGGTTAGCTCCTCTTGGCATGTTCACCGTCATGGATACCACCAGCCACCTATTGACAGGCTGCCCTTCATTTCGGAGCTTCAAGCTCTTACTCTGCGTGATCTATATCCTGTTTCTGGTGAGACAAATGGGTCTGCTGTGGGCACTGCTGTCTGTGTGTCAGGTATGCTCTAGGACATTTCCCCTCACATTAATCATAATCACTGAGGTCCGAAGAGTCAGCTGAAATAGTACATCCATTGCTCTGAAGTATATTCCTTCTTGTAACTAAGGAATATTTAGAACTTTAAGTAATTTTGGAATGTCAGTGGTTCTTGATCATGATTTTTAGCTCCTTAGGAAGACGCTGGAGCACGATTCTTAGACTTTTTAGGGGGCAGACCCTTTGAGAGTCTAATGATGTTATGGAGTCTCTCTAGGTGGACATCCATACAACATCTGGATGATGCTTTAGGCCCTGGATCCTGAGCTAGGAATTCCTGCTCTGCCCTAGGTGGATCATCTTTTTCTTCATCTCAGCTTATCAAAAGGAGAAGCTGCTTGGCCCTTCCAATGACTTTTCAGAAGAGGAGTCCTGGCCTCTGGCTTTTGGGAAGTTAGTGGAGGAGCCCTGACCTTTTGGTTGAGCTCAGCTGACTTTTTCCTTGATTTACATAATTCACCAGTAGGAAAGGTTAATATCATTTGTCAACTTGACTGGGCTACGGGGTGCCCAGAAATTTGGTCAAACATTATTCTGGGTGTATCTGTAAGAGTGTTTCTGGATGAGATTAACATTTGAATCAGCAAACTGAGTAAAGCAGATTGCTCTCCCCAGTGTGCAAATATGTATGGATGTCTCCTGCTTATTCTCTTTCTCTGAAGAGCCCTGACCAATATAACCAGGAAAAGAGGAGTCAGAATCTGTACCTCATTTTGCCTGTGAACTGCTTCTTCCTCAGTGGATCTAGGCCCTTCGTGTGTGTGTGTGTGTGTGTGTGTGTGTGTGTGTGTGTGTGTTTTCAAAGTAGAAATTCCAAGGCTTACTTTTAGGGTGTTAATTAGTGCAAAATAGATTGCCTACAGATTAACAGAAAGAAGAAGTCTTCCAGACCAGAGTGCCTGACATGGTCCTCACAAGCTGTAATCATAAAAGATGGTTGTGTTTGCTTTGTTTCCGGCACATGGATCCATTTATAATACATATGCGCCCTGAGGAAACTAATATTTTTTAAATGGATTC